ACAAATCGTTCCTCAAGAAAACATCCAAGATTATGCAGGTACATTGCTCGACTAGGGTCATCACGAGCAGTTCGGTCAACAGCTTCCCGTTCAAGTTGGATAGCTTCTTCCAAGAGTGCTATTTGTCCGGTTCTCTCAAACCAGTGTCCAAGCCAGTTTGCATAGGAATCCAGATCCATTGTTCAATTGTGGTCGTCATGGGAAGTAACATGCGGGGTACATGTAACTTGCATCACTCGGATAACCTCGTCCGGGGCTGCTGTTTCCTCAGCTCTCTCAAGCTGCCATTGGAAAAAACGCTCAATACTCAAGAGAGACGAGTCTACAATATCCACAAGTGTTCCTGTAGCATAAACAGCTTCTTCGCGAACAACTAATATCCCATCTCTCTGAAGCCTGTCTCAAAGGTGTAAATAATGTCAAGATAGTTCAGATAGATACCTTGCTCAATTCAGGTGATCATAATTGCCAGTGGTAGATGAGCTCTGTTATAGCCATGCGCTATCCCCGGATTCGCCTCCCAGCCCTCCATTGACTAGAGTATTGAAGAAAATTTACGTCAGATTAGTAAAACATAAGGCTTCAATACATAGGGCCTGTCACAGCATCCGAAAAATCCACAGATAACCTGAAAACAGGGTGCAGATGATATGTTATTGTCTACTCTGAAGCCAGAGGTAACAGTTACTTACCTCAGCAGTCTGTCGCCACCCAAACGGTAAACCTTTCTGTCATTACTGTACTTTTTTCCATGTCAACGCAACTTCATATGGAGTACTCGGTAGCTCATGCAGTGCTGACGTCAGTGACCCTGCATGTTTGGTCTCCAGATCTTGATGCATTTCAGATCAGTTCATGGAATTTTAATGCCTCTATGGAGACAAAGGGCACAGGGTTTATGTATCATCAGGCAAAGTGTGATGGGTGGAACCCATATTCTCTGGTAGCTCCTAGTTTCAGTCTTTGGATTCTTGATGATTGGTTCCTTCATCTATCTTGACGCCACTACACTGCACACTACATATATATAAGGATATCAGGTTCACTTCGTCAACAACCTTGACACCCACGTGTTAGTCATGGCGCTTGGACTTCATAGATCCAGGTCTATGTACTCACTTAATGCGCATGTGTTGAAAAATACCAGGCATTTTATCCGCCGTGATGCCATCGTGTTGGGTTCTCAATGATCATTTCTTCTCGCTAGAAGACGTCCAGTTGGCAAGCTTGATTCCGAATATCAAGGATCCAGAGCTTGACGCCCTTGAAACCCCCACGCAATTGACGCCGAAGGACTATACCGTTAAGGTAGTACGCGATTATTCCGCCTTCCTACAGCGTCATATGAACGCGAGGGTGCAAGCATTTCTCTCTCATGTTGCACAATTATCCATTGGGCGCACGAGGTCTTCTGATATACGTCTTTCTGCACGTTTAGGCCGGATCTACACGCTCAGGAAACCCACGGCCGTGTTTAACACGTTATGCAAAGAAGAGAAAGTTCGGGAATGGCTTCAAGAGCAGATTGAGAGCGGCTCGAATGTATATCTTGTGATTGGCCTTCGCACGCTTTTCGATACGAGCACCGAGGAAGGTGCTCGACTTGCACAACATTATGCAGGCCAGTTTTCATTGCCTGTGGAGGAGTTTGCGGCTGGGATGCCAATTGGTAATGTGGGGGCCTCTGGCAGGTACGAACAAGGGCGGGAAGCCGCAAATCGCTACGTGGCTCCTGGAGAGCAGATCTTTGGTATCCGGGTGAAGAAACTTACATTCAAATTTTTTGAAGCTCGCGAAGTCGACAGGATGCGTTTGGCGAGGAATAGTGTCTGGATGATGGCTGATCGCAGCCGGGCCGCCTCTCACAAGGATTCGGAAATTGTTGAAGCTGGGTTGGAGGGTGAAGAATCTGAAGACCAGGACGAGGACAATTCCGCTCAAGAAGACAACAATATGGATTTTGTTATCATTGAGAGTGGAAAATAGTGCTGTGAAATTAAAAAGCCAAAAGTTTGACTTCTGATAAATTGTTCAGTGCCCTAAGAGGCTAAGGATAATGTTGTAGTGGCAAGGACTGAGCTGAAATCCATCAAGATCTGGAATATGAAAGCAGACAAAAGGGCCATCAACACTGATGAAATATTAACGGAGAAATGATGATTTGGCTACAAACACGTAAACCTCACTAATACATGGAGGTCTAGAAGACAGCTAAGCCCATGTATTTTTGTTAGATGTTGACACATATATGTGGTTGGTCACCATAGATGACTTCAGGATCAAACAGAGACTAGTATTCACAGATTTGGCAAGCTGTCAACATTTCCAATCCATCTTTTCCCTCGCACAACTCAGCATTTCAGGAGTAGCTAGAAAAAGTGCCCTTGTGGCCAACGTTGCTGCATGTGTCTTCATCTGTAGCTGGCTGAAGATCTCCGTGTACCACAACCCTTGCCTTATATTTCAAAAGGAATCCATCTGTGTCGAATTTGTTGTCATACACCCACATTAGTGGCACTGGGGTCAACCTGTCAGCTTCCGCACGTGTAGCTGGAACCTTCTCAAAGCAGCCCTTTTCCCAGAGCTTCCGCATTTCAACCTCCATAGCTCGTTTGTATTCCTTCCTATTCGGGTGTTTGAGCATTTGTTTATAGCTCTTGGGAGGCGGCGGGATCTCTTCTTGCTGTAGACAGTGTGTTGGTTCCTTTCCAGCCATAAAGCTTGCGAATAAGCCGTCCAAATCCTTTATATTGTTAATCCGGAATCCGTATAGATTCTTGCGTTGCCTCTTAGAGGGTCCTATAAATTCCTCTGGGTTCATTTGTTCAGTGTTCTGCTTTCTGGTCCTTGTAGACTTTCAGACTCCTTCCTGGATCTCTTGTTGGGAAATCATTAGATTGTCCACCGGGTTAGACTCCTCATTAAGGGATACTTCTTCAAGTTTGTTGAGTATTTGAGCGGACGGTGTTGCTATGGGAGGATTCGGGGAACTATAACCCTCCAGGCATTTCTGCTTCTGGTGTTGTTTCGGTGACGGCAGCAGGACTTGCGAGGTTCTGCGCTGTTCTGGATACTGCTCCATATTACGCTCCGGATCTGGTGTAGGCAGTTGTAAGCCGTCAATTTTGTCAATTTCCAAGGGATCTACCCCCTTAGTTCCTGAATCCTTAGGTCCCTTGGACTGTAATTGTATAAGCTCCTCGTCGGATTCATCTGAGGACTCTGCAATGTCAGATTCTTCCCTAGTAAAGTCTTCTAATTGAACCGGGTTAGTTAGTAGTTCCTTTTGTAGGCCTGTTATTTCGTTTGCAACTTCTCTAGGGTCGAAGATGATCTTTTTGTTGAACATAACGTCCCTGGTTGAGATCACCTCATTCCTGCGTGGGATCCATATACGGAAGATGTTTGTGGACTCATATCCAACTAAGTAGCCAATTTCAGCTCTTGCAGCCAGTTTGCGGCTTCTTGGAATTGAGTTATCCTTTATAAGTGGGTAGGCTCTGCAGCAAATGGCGCGTAAGCGCGAGATATCTGGCTTATTCGTTCCAGCCTTATCATTAAGGTAGGATTCCAATGTTGTTAAGGTTGTTTCACATTGTAGAGCTTTAACCAGGGTTCTGTTCAACAAATAAGCCGCTGCTTTGGTTATTTCTGGCCATAGATCCTCCCGCAAATTGGCAGCTACGCATATAGTTCAAGCCACTGTAGATATTAAGGCTCTTGACCATTCTGCCAGTCCGTTTTGCTGCAGCGTATAGGGAGGGGATCTCTCAACGTGTATGCCTTGTTCTGTAACCCAGTTTGGAAAGGCCTTTTGTAGAGAAGTTTCTCCATCCAAGTGTATAACCAGCACCCTTAGGTTGTAAACCCTCTTTATCTTCCTAAAAATCCGTTTCAAAGCTGCTAACGCGTCGGATTTTCGTTTGAGAGGTTCAGCGTTGTGGATATGCGTATACAGGCAGTAAGTGTGCAGAAGATACTTGAAGTTATCCAAAGATTTAGTGAACTGGAATCTGGATCAAATCAACATGTAAATGCATGAATGGTCTACTTCCCTTATCCATTGGCTTTCATGAAATGATCTGACGGGATTTAGTGACCGCGCATGGCTCACATTCTGTTCCTGCTGGTCCTTTCAAGTCTTTTGCTTTTATGCCAGTTACCGCGTATGGTAGATGCTTTAGAGGTTCCCTACCAAGGTGTCCTAGCCGTTGGTGCCATAGTTCGGCTGATTCTTCGGTTAATTCGGGGTTGGAAGGATCCGCGTTCGGGTTAGGTTTGTTCGCGGAGTTTGTGGTGAATATGGAGGAGCATCTTCCTATTGTCAAAATAGACCTTCTTTTCCCATAGTAGGGGCATGGCGACGAGGTTTGTGTGAAAATTCGGTATATAAGCCGTCTTGCTTAGTCCGATCTTCTCTGGTCCTCTAGGCGTTTGAATCTTTATCCAAACTGACCCCCAACCTTCAACCTTTATGTTGTTGCTTCCGGCATACAAATATTCATTCTCGGAGCTCTTAAGTTGCAGGCTGGTATTCGGGACCGGGACGGGATCCCATTTCCCATTGAAGCTGGTCCCGGTCCCGAATTTAGAAACAGCCGGGATCCCAAATATGAAATCTCAGTCCCATGTCCCATCCCACTCAAGAGCTTGAGGTCCTGTTTCTATTTCTATTCTATAAATTATTTCCCGGTCCCGTCCTCAAATAGAAAATTATGTCCCACATCCCATCCCAGCAGAGAAGATAGACTTCTATTTCCTGTTGCAGCCAGATTTATAGTAAGACTGGAATGGGATCAGATTTCCAGTCTTATTATGTTAAATTCATAGGGAAGAGTCAAACTGATCAAATTTTGTGTGGACTGTTACCAAATTTTGTTACTTTTTTGATGAAGGCGGAACTCTTAGAAGAATCAATTTTGATTGTAAAGGAAATGAAAAATAAAAACAAACTATTAAAACTAATTAATGGCCGAAGCCAGCAAACAACCAAGAACTGCCTAAGCAAGTTCATCATCATCATCATCATTCTCTTCCTTCTCCCCCTCCTCCTCCTCCTTCCCCTCTTCCTTCTCCTCCCTCTCCTCCTCCTCCTGCTCCTCCAGAACCGGCTTTGTGAACCGGACAGGGGCTCTAATACCCGCCATTTGACGGGCGGAGACCCTGTCGGCGCCGGGGGGAGGCAGAGAGGCGGTGGTGGTGGAGCAGCGGCAGCAGTAGTTGGCGGGGCGGGGGCAGCAGCGGCGGGGCGATCAGGCGCATCAATCGGGCCGAAATAGTTCGACCCGGTCATGGCACTGATGCCAAGAACGAGCTTCATATCATCAGCATTGACCGTAACGCGCTTACGGTGCGCCATTGCCATAACAGAGCCTATATTACTCAGTATAATTGTTGGTCCATTGCCAATGGTGACTTACACTCAAACAGAGCGCACAAGGTCGCTTCAGCAGCCTCCTGAAGTGACTCAATGGCAGTACGTTGCCAGCGATATTCATGTCCTTGGTAACAGGACAAAGTAATTTCCCGAACCAATCGCTGGAACGGGGCCGCCGGGAAGATTAGCTCGGTAGAGCTCTGGAAGGGGCGGATTTCCTTGATGGCACCTATTTCACCAATTAGCATCAAGACCATTACCAAAAATTGTTACTTTTGACATACAAGTGCCGGCCTTCCAATTATGAACGGTGGGGCGGGGGCGGGGGTTCTCCTGGTCAAAGTTGGCCAGGTCAACGTCTTTATTGGCTTTACGCCAATCGGCCTTCTTCGTGGCCCATTATTTCGACGCGGCCTTGTGCCGCTCCTCCCCACCTGTTCGAAATGTATGGGCACGGGGGAAACTAACATCTTGTCAGTAAACAATGTGCGCCAGAGCAGAAATCTGCAAGCACGCACCTCTTAACGCGACCCATTGTCACAGCGCAGTTCGTCGTAAGGGGGGACGTCGAAGGGCAGTAAATAAAAAGGGGGGAAAATCGTCAACATTAGCTCTGAAGAGAAAGAAGAAGAAGAGGAAGAGAAAGAGAAGAGAAGAGAGACTGATCTTATGTTATTATTCTCTAGCCAGCATAGCAACAACGCGTCGAGCTTGCCCATAGCAACGTGCCCGTAGAATGTAAACAATGTGTATAGTAACCATCCTACGCAAGTACTTGGTCAATACACTCTATAATCCCATCACGCAGCGCCTCCAATTCAAACTTGTCATATATGATCATGAAGATGGGGCCCAAAGAATATTTGATGAGAGAGAAGACCCGTGCGGCACGGGAGCACCGCTAGGCCTTGGAAGGCCATCAAAAGGACATATTCAAGGCAGGGGAGGCAGATTGCAAGGCGTGCCATGATGTGCTGAAGAGGATCTGAGCCAAGCATGAGTGGTATGCACCCTCAGTGGTTTGTGTTGAATCATATTGACATCCATTGCAGGCAGAATAGCAGTGAGGAGGATCGCAAGGTGATCAAGGAGAAAGCCATTGAAGAGTTGATGGCCAAGCGATTTGCCAAGGGCAAGTCAAAGGAGTACCATGAGCACCAGCTCATGGTCTCTCAGCAAAAGAAGAGGGAGGAGGAGAAGAAGCATCGCCGAGAGGAGGCCACAGAGACTGAGAATGAAGCTCGGCAGAACAAGAAGGTAGGATCCAAAAGTAACAAAATTTGGTTAATGGTCCTGACATATTTAGGCCAAAACAAGCCAGGCGCAGCATCCTTTTGCTGCACGTATGCAGGCCCGGTTCCGTCAAATGATGGCCAACCTGGAGGCCGATGTCATGGCCCATGGTCATGATCGTCTTGCTGTGGCCGGTGTGTCGAGAGATGGGGTTGAGGAGGAAATGAGGGGATTCTTGGGCCATTAACGAAGTTTGTAAAGCGTCTCTTATTGTTGCATATATGGAGGTCTGATCCGCCGTCAAGGATGAAGCTGTTCTTTAGGAAATACATTGGCAGGCGGGATTTTCATCCAGCTGTAGGGAGGCAGTATTGAAAGCTGCACATGGCAAGTTCCTTGCAGCCATAAAGACTCCATTCTCCTTCAGGGTCTCAATCTCTTGACCAGCTCTCGTATCGGCATCTTTGTTCTTACCCTCCCGCTTGATTGAGGCCTTAACCATCCCTTTTATTCGTGGTTTCTTCAGCATCTCTTGAGCTTTCTTCTCAATCTCTGGATCGGCTTTCCAATCCGCGGACCGGATATTCGAGTTATAGTAGGGACATTGGCCAAAATAGTGCTTTGATCCGCACACGCACGATGGAGGCTTCTTCTGGCTATCTCCTTTTCTTTCTTGACCCTTTTCTTCCGCTGGAGATCTTCCTTGTAAGGTTGCAGCAAAGGAACCCCCTGGTTGCTTAAATTTCTTTTGCTTTCCATTCACTTGAACATTTCTCCAGTATCTCCAGAAGGCTCTTAAGACTTCATCATGGCTTGGGTAGATTTCCGTGATTGTAATTTGCACTTGTTGTTGAGTGGAGAATTCGGGACAGTCCTTCTGTATAGCTTGTAGGAAATCCATGACTAGGGTCTCATTATATAGTAAATCCTCAATCTTATGCTTCCTTATCCTTTCAACCATAATTTCCCAGTCTGTGACCCAATCTTCAAGGTCCTTTCCCCTGGGTGGTCCGTGGACATTCATCTTCATAAATTCCGATCGTAGCATCATTCTTGTAGCTGCCTCTGGTCGAGCTACTTGTTCTTGAAGAATCCTTAAGCACTCATGCGGACAAGTGATATCCTCGATGAATGTAAAGCACCGGGAAGAGATCCTTTCGCGGATATAATTCAGCATATCTGCTAGTGCTAGCTCTCTCCGATCGTATCTCTTTATTTCCCATTTTAGTAGTATCATTGCCTTTTGTAAGGCCATCCCTTCCAATTCCACGTCCACTCCATCTTCGGGTGGTTCAAGCTTGGGCGGTTCTTCCACTGAAGGGTCAATAAATTCCCATATCTGCTTTGTGTGAGCATATTGCCTTATTTGGGCAAGCCATTGCTCCCAATTGTGCTCGGATTGTAGGATTATGGCGGTAGTCATCTTCGCAAAGGTACAATCCGCCGTTTCTTCGTCAATGCTAGAAAGAAGAAAAGAAGTAAAGAAGAAGGAAAGAAATGTAGGAGGAGGTTTGTATAGCTCTGTAGGCTGTTCAATAACGTGATATAACGTGAACTCTCTAGCTTCGTCAATTGCCTAATCCGGCAATCTTATATATACGACATCTTCGAAGAGCCCGGGCTCATAACTGTCAAACCAGATTTAATCTACTCCGTAGTAGGGATACGAATATCCATTGATTGGTCCGACTAATCTATCTAAGAATGATTGATCTATCAAAATGAATAGCAACCCTCTGGTCACATGACTAACAATTTTGTGTGGAAAAGCATACAAACTCAGATACAGTAGCCGAGTTGCTGACTAATAGCTCAAACAAGCGATAGATAGTTATTATGTATCTCCATCTGGTAGTTGATACCGAGATATATCGAGGTTGAACTCTGTAATCCAACAGGTGCTCCGGTTGAGTAAGCAGTCTTGCTCTGATGACAAAGGGTTTCCGTACAGGTGTATCAGAGTCAGAGGCAACTATGGGCCTTCCTCAAGAGGAACAGGCTCAAGTACAATCGTACAACAGGACTTCAATGGTATGGAAAGTAACCAAGTCTCGAATGGCCTACAAGGCTACTAACCATATGCGGAAGCTATAGGAACCACGGAACGTGAACTCCATAACATTCGTGCCCTCGCTCTCCCCCTTGTAAGAGGATGAGATGAGAAACCGGGATGAAAACTCTGCGTCAGATCAAAGAAGATCCGAGACGCTAAGCTGGAGGCTAACTACATAGAGACTAGTGTCTCGATACCGCGCCCCCAGGCTCTAGCCAGTGCTGGGAGAAGAGAAATTTCTAAATACAAAAATCCAACAAATCCAGGATCCAAGCTGGTTCAATAACCAAATGAGTGGCATATTTCTTAGTAAATAGTAAGCGGAAGTCCAAATTGAAGGTTGAGCTCCAAATCTGTTGCTGGTGTAATGTTGTTGTGGGTTATGCCACTTCCGCCGGTGTTTGTGTCATCCTAACTATATAGGCTGGCAGGTCGGCTGCAAGGTAGGAGGCGTAATCTCCATATGGCCTCGGTGGCTGGCCTTTAGTTGTACGGCTCGATATGGGTCTTTGTGGGCTGAGGGTTTGGCTCCATTGAAGCTGTAGGTAGGCGTACGTAGGAGCTCAACATTCGCTTGTTGTGTTGATTCCGAGGCCTCTGGGGTTTGCTCTTGTATAGGCAGGGATTCGGCGGTCTGTTCTTCAACTTGAACTGGTTCTTCCAACGCGTCTTTAAACATCTCATTGTGAATTTGGCTCTCGATCCAGTCGTTGTTGCTATCTCCATTATATGGAGGCTCCGGCGTTTCTTCGATAGTCTCATGGACAGGCTCATGAAATCTCACCATGCGTTTAGGTGCCGAAGGAATCCTCTGAGGTGACGGCGTTATCGTTTGAAGCCGTGGGCCGTGCATTTGCTCCTGTATCCAGAAAGGTATTGGGATCTCAGGGTTCTCAATCAGGTTAGCTCCTTGAGCACATGCCTCTGTAGGCTCTTCTGTTGAAGCTGGAAGAAGCCTAGTAGCAGTTTGCTCCGCCGCCCCCATAGCTTCCTGCTTTGGGAAGCTTGGAATCATAAAGGGTTCTGTAAATCTATTCTTTGGCTTAGGATCTTCCTTTTTCGGGAGATCTGGGATGGCATCGACATCGTCATTGAACTTGGCATCGCGTGTACATATAATTTTGCCAGTCTCAGGGATCCAGATCTTATAAATATGTCCATTCTCGCCTTCATATCCCACTAGGCGACCGAGTTGAGCCCTGGGTTCCATTTTATATGCCTTATTGTAGTTCGCTCTATCCTCTGGCGAAATACGCGCATAAGCTATACATCCGTAAGCTCGTAGGTGCCGCAGATTTGGCTTCTTTTTCCAAAAGAGCTCGTATGGCGATTTTTCGCCTCTAGCCGAAGGGATCCTATTCGTAATGTAGCAGGCAGTTTGTAGAGCTAGATCCCAGCCTTCTTGTGGAAGTTTCGCCTCTACAATCATGACACGGCTTATTTCTACTAGATAGCCGCCTATTCGTTCTGCTACGCCATTTTGCTCAGGCGTATATGGAGCAGTCACTTCGCATTCGATTCCACGGGCCGGGGCGTATTCCTTCCTAAATAGTGAAAATTCGGTGCCTTCATCCATTCGTACAGTATCCACGTAGAAACCTAGCAGATTCCTGAGCCTCTCAACATGCTCCTGAAGGTTACGTGAAGCTTCAGCCTTATTTTTGAGCAGTATAACCCATTTAAAGCGTATGCAGTCATCCATGATTATTAGGGCGTATTTGAAGGCTTGAAAGCTCGTTGGCTTTATGGTTTGAAGGTCAATGTGAATCTTCCGTCCAGGAATAGTAGACCGGATCTGTGGTGTTCGAGATATCTGCCGTTTTGACCTTCCTAGTGCACATGCATTGCAATGGAAAGTATCTTGAACTTCTATTTCAATTCTCTGGTCCTTTATTGCTTTTCATGTGGTAGGGGACGCGCAGTGTCCCAGCCGTCTATGGAGAAGCTCCGGCGTAAGCTTCAGGAGCGTATGTCTGTTGAATGACTTCCTCTTGCTGAGGAAGTGGCTCTGTCTGGAGGATCGTAACCCCATCACTTTTCTTAGCATATCCCACTAGCTTGTGGTCCTCTCGTGTTCGCAGCGTGTAGTCTACTTCTGTAAAGTAGAGATCCAATTCTTTGGCCAATTGATCCGTGGAAAGGAAATTCGCGCCTAACTTCGGGTTATACCATGCACGTATATGGATCTCGTTGACGATGCCATCCCGGGCGGTGCATCTAACGCGTACTATGCCACTACCCTTTATGGAAAGGATTTCTCCATTCAAAGCTTTGTACGAATGTTCAGTGGTAGGATCAAAGCTAGCAAAGTAGGCTTTATTGCAACAAATCGAGTGGCTGCAACACGTGTCAACGAGCCAGGCTTCCGGGCCAGCGGCTTTCTCGTATACGGATGCCACTAGGTGGGGTCCCCATGCCATGTCGGCGAAGTTATTTTCAAATCCCAGTAGGAGATGCGTTCCTCCCGCATTATCCCTAGCATCCTCACCGGAATCTGGTTGCGGAGATCTGGATTGGCTCTGGCTTGAGCCATGTCTTTGGTTCTGTTCATTGTTCGTGTGCCGCCTTCCTTTGGGCCTTGGTCTCATCCATAAATTTGGCTTTGGCTTCCATCCTTGATATCTCTTATCGGTAAAAAGGTGAGGGCATTGTCGTATGGCATGACCCGGGATCTCGCAATATCCGCAGTTGTCACCTATTTTGCTAGGCATATTCTCGCATAAGGATTTGACATGGTCATCCCATGAGACTCCTTTCTGTGGAGCGTATCTCCGTATGACTTGCTTGTTGGAGGTGGTCTCTCTGAATTTGGTATGTCCGGCCCTATAAATCCCGCTCCGTGCTTCCACATATTCCTTTGCCTCCTGCACAAGATTCCTCATATCCTCGTATGTTATGTCACTGGGGTTCGTATTTCGAACTATTGATAGCACATTATCGGCGTAGTTCTCGTTAATCGCTCGTATACCCTCAATTATCTTGTTAATTGCTAGGGAAGGATGTAACGGATGGGGAGCTCGCGATGCCCCCTGGTATCGTTCAAGCAGCACGTCGAGGTATTGTGTAATTGATGCATAGTTTTGTTGACGTGTGTAGAAATAATTCTCAGCTGCATGGATGCATGTATTTTTATCAGGCTTCATAAAGAGCTGCTTTGCGTAGAATATCATGAGGGCAGGGTCTTCAACGCTGCCTCCATAGTGCTTATTGATCCGATCTCTAGCATCGTCTTCCATGCTTAAATTGAGCCATGTAGCAAAGGATGTCATGGCACTTCGCCATTTGATTTGTATGTCTTCGGAATCCCCCAGCCATAGTGGTTTAGCTGCAACTTGACAATGGTTAACCAATTATTCACATTTTTCTCGCCTTGTAGCATGGGGATTGACCGAATTGTTGTTCCAGTGACGTCTGTAACCATTTTGTCTGCTATATTGAAGTTCTTTTCGATTCGGGGAGTTGTTTCTCTGAACCGGCGGCCCGCAATGCCGCCCCGTAGAAAGCCAACTCGCCGTGTAATGCCCGCTGGCTGTGAATGTGCACCCGCGCTGGTGCTAGCATCCTCCATATGTCCCGCTGGACTCATATTTCTGGAGGTTGGATTGGGGGTTGGAGCTGAAGAGCTCTCCAGGTCGTTGTCCATCGTTCCGTCAAGGGTTTTCCTGTTTTGGCAACTCCAAAGGCTTCAAAGATTCCTAAGGAAGGGCTCAGAACCTCTTGAAGAGCTACAAGGGTACTAACCATATGTGGAAACTATAGGAATCACAGAACATGAACTCCATACATTCATACCCAGGCTCTCCCCCTTGCAAGAGGTTGAGATGAGAACCAGGATGAAAACTTTGCGTCGGATCAAAGAAGGTCCGAGACACTAAGCTGGAGGCTAACTACATATAGACTAGTGTCTCGATACCGAGCGATTTGGCAAACCATGGCAACTTGGACTGGTAGAGCACGGGCTGATGTTAACCTCTCTACAATGCCAGCCCCAGAAAATGAACCTGGACCAGGGGTGAATGGTCACTAATGCCAAGTGAACACAGCATTAGCTGATATGCCTGATTCTCTCAAAGACAACCAATTCTCAAAGTTGATTTTAGAAGGTAGCTGGATGAATGGAATCACTGTCACTATCATTCACTTGGCACTGTCTCCAACCCCAACTCTGACATAGCCATCAGCATTGCAGTAACAATCTGTTACATAATCCTGCAGCATGCATCCAAGTGTGACCTTTTGCTTGCCCCTGATGTTCAAGGGATTAAGTCTTGGCTTTTGGTGCGTTGAGAATTTGATGATGTAGTACTCTGTACTCTGTACATAGCGACCTCTGGTGGTTCTGGTTGCGGCGTTAGCTTATAGACAGCGATCACTAGAGAAATGTCACTGTAACAGTCAATGCAGAATTGGCAGAGCTTGTTTATCAAGGTTTTCAATCACCGACATCGCATCTGTTGAATATTGCGAAGATTGAATCTCGGATGTTCATCCAGCACCTGCAAAGACATGATGGTAGAACTTATTTCAGCTAAGGAGAGGTAGGGCCAGGCATGGTGGGTTGAATGCATTCTATTTAAAAGCCAGAGGTAGCCACCATTTTTCAAAATCCGTGGCGTAGCCATGGTCGAAGCGCCGATATCATTTCATGATGCGGGCCATGAGCGTGAGACTGGTCCGAAAAGAGGACGACTCCGTTTTTAGGGGCTTAGCGTGTTTCGACATCAAATTTCTGGATTTCTGGATTTTTGCATTTTGCATTTCTGCAATTTGCCTGTTTTGCTGGTAGTAAGTATTTGCCTTTCATGACTTACTTGCCAATATCGTCCAGCCAATTGTCATTTACACCAGCTTTAATCAGCAGCGACCGACAACTGGATCTTGACAGCCGTCGTTTCTCTGTTTGCCACCGTGGTCCGGGGAGGAGACCATTGGTCAAGGCATTCAGTTCCTGGTGATCAATAGTTCGGCGCCTTTGTACGGACATTCTACAGCGTCCAGGGGGCTTCATGGGGATGTGGCAGGTCGGGTTGGTTATATATTGTTCCCCAAGCACCCTTGGTTCCCTCAGAAGCTTTCGTCGACTCTCATGCTCCCACTGTCCTTAACTCATTCAAGCCCACCCTCTTCGCTTCTTCTTTACAGGCCCATTTACAGTTCCCCCTTACCCATCGCAGCATGGCGTCCCACCATCGTCGCCCGTCATCCTATGAGGGTGCTTTTGATTCACCGGGCCGCTCTCATGTTCCATTCCAGCCTCTCCACTGTCATCGAGTATCCTTTGACGGCCTTATCGACTATTCCTCCCTGGCGCCCTTAACTGCAGATGAGCGCTCTCGCGCCCAAGAGGCATTGGACAGGATTATCCACCATCTTGCCAATCACAGTGGCTCCAAGGGTGGATATAGTCGCCATTTACTTGTCCGTCGTAGTTATGACTATTCGCAGTCTGAATTGTCCAAGGATACATTCCTGCGCGTTTTCTTCAATGTTATGGGGCTAGATATCAGCAGTGATGAAGATATCAACACGGGTGATGATCAGCTCCCTCCAAAATTCATTCACTTTGCAGACACGCTCCTCAAGCAGTTCTTCTTTCCATGTTTGTGCTGTATGCGCCACCCTGTCATCTTCCACATTCACTAATTCTCTTACAGTGAAAGCAACTGGAAAAATTACCCCACAACCCTCTCCTGCTCAGCTTTCAGCAATGCAAAGTGTACAATCACCGCATGAAATCGTTGGTACCTTTGAGCGAGTTTCATACCTTCGAGCTCTTTGCCTTGTTCGTGACCAACATCGTTGTGTGATCTCCCAGGTTTTTGACGCGCAACAAGAAGTAAAGCAAACAAATCAGCATGGTTTGGATGCTCAAGATGATGATGGGAATCTGCTTAAAGATGAGGATAGATTTGATGACCTGGAAGTGGCCCACATACTTCCCCACTCCCTTACACAAATGAACGAGAATTTATACGGCTGGTAGGTCATCTGTCCAAAATAGGCTTTCCCATGGCTAAATGACAGACACGGTGATCCCAGGAAGACTATGATTGACATCCTTAACATGTTTGATTGCGATGTGGCTCATCTCATTGAGGGCTCTCACATTGATAGCCCACACAATGCTATCAGCCTGACTCCAACTTTCCATAAAAGCTTTGGCAATTTTGAGGTATACTTTGACACTGTTGCTGGCGAGGAACATACCTACCGCATTGACAGTTTCCTTAACCCAGTCTCAGCAGCACGTCGGGGACTACCTGTTACTCGCAAACTCCTTCTCAGCGAAGGAAGAGTAATAGATGCTCCCTCCCCCCAGCTACTTGCTCTACACCGGGCCATTGCTCATATCCTTCACTTGTCAGGGGCGGGTGAATATATTGATAAAATACTCCAGGATTTTGAGGAAACAGGTGTGCAAGAGAATGGGTCCACGGACCTGGGACATATTGTGGACCTCAGACTTGGTGGTTGGCTAGATGGTGCTGGTGAAGTTCATTAACTAGTTGCCGGATGAGATTTGGGGTTATAACTTGTAGCATATGTGGCTCTGGAGGGTGTTCTCTTACAAATGCTGGTCAGCCATGGTTTCCCCTCTTACTCCATTGTTACCATTGCGCTCAAATGAGGAATTCAACTTGCTTTTCCTCTTGTATTTTGATTTGCAAATCCCATGATTTCAGCTTTCCCACTCTTTAATTTCATTTTTGGTTCTCTCTAACCGGCAAGTTATTTCATGGCGTGTGTGTTTCCAGCCTTCGTAAACTAGGTGCTGCCTGTGATCCCTGGTTGTCATAAGCATAAGCCATAGAATAACTTGTCTGCATTGAGGCAGTCTGTGAAAAGCCATGTGGTAAAATTTGTCGGTGCAAAGAGGAGAGTGAGGAAAAATGTGGAACTCATGGCGTGTTGAAGGACGTGGTTTGAGGATGAGGGCTGAAACTGGATCGCGAACAATTTGTCTGTCTCATTAAGTACATCACTCTGATTGGGTTGCAGTTTAAGCACTCAGTTTTCAAATTATCAAAGTCAGAAAATTCGCAATTTCGAATTTTTCCCTACAAAACCCCATCCCAATGTTGCAACCGACATGATATTGCTGTCTTGCATACATGATCAGCTGTCGCTTCCCCAAAGAATCAGGGGTATTAGAGTTATATACCGAGATGTCCTGGCCCCTTATGGATCTGTCGCCATGATTCTTCACCCACAAATAGAGGCATTCCCTGTAGGATCTATTTCTTGTCAAAGCTGTGACCTTACTTATGGAATTCATTTGCCGTGGCTTTTCGCCCAGAATTAGGGGTATTCCCTGTAGAATCTATCTCTCCTCAAAAGTGTGGCGTCCCTCATGGAAGCTGCTGGTGTGGTCCTCACCTGAATTTAATCGTATTCCTTCTAGAATCTATCTTCCTGTGGGGTAAGTAAATCCCCAAGGACCTTGCATATCGTGGCATTACTAGTCACTCCCTATAGATCTTTTACCCCAAGGATCATATCTCCCCAGGGAGCAGTATGGCAAGCTGCAGTGTTTCTCAGGGAACAAAAACCCCAAGGAATACTTGTATCATGGTCTTTTTGATAGAAGCTCTGGTGTTCTTCCGGAATCTTTCTCCCTTTGGATACTCACTTCTAAGGCATGGCGTCTGCCCTGAGGCATCATGGAGCATCGCTGGCGATAAGACAAGAAAGTCGAGCAATGATTTCGACATTGACGAGGACGATGGTGTGTAAGGGGTTCGCGGGCGAATCCTTACAAAAAATCGTTGGGTGGTCGGAAACATTATATGTACTTAGTCAATCCTCCTTAATAAAGGGGTGCTATGAGCCCATTTGCATCCTTGCGGCGGTGTAGGCCTCTCTAGCTCTCGGAGGGCCTACTAGGCTACTAAGCATGTGCGGAAGCTAAAGAGACCACGGAACCTCAACTCTATTCAGTGCTCTTCTAACCTTGCTCTTCGTATGGCTGGGACGAGGAGCTGGGAAGAAGAGTTGGAACTCTGCGTAGGATCAAAGAAGATCCGAGCTGAAAGCTTGAGGCCAACCAGTGATGCCTCTATATAACGATCACTTTATATAACGAATCCTCTAATATAACAAAAATCTCTTCCAAGATTAAATCTTCATACGAAATATTCGTTAACCTCTATACGGAGTACTCCGTACTACAAAATTCATTAAATATCTCTCAAGATTTCTTAATAATTCGTTATAACGAGGCCAAAAAGGACCAAAATGCCCCGCCGAACCGCGATTTCAATCGAGCAGAAGAAGGAATTACGCTCCCACAAAGCTCTTAATCCTTCCCTCTCCAACAAGGCCTTGAAGCAGTGGTTTGAGGCCCTATATAAGCAAAAGATTGCTTTATCTTCAGTCTCCGAGATCCTTTCTAAACGATACGAACACCTTGACCGGCCTGTCAACCGTACGTCAAACCAGAAGCGCTACCGTCGTGAACACTGGCCAGAGCTTGAAACAGCATTATATTTGTGGATTCAACAGGCAGAGACATCAATTAAACTCTCACGAGAGGTTATACGGCTTAAAGCAGAGTTCTTTTGGAAGAATCTGTCAGTATATAAGGACCGCGAGATGCCTGCATTCAGCAATGGCTGGCTTGAAGGATTTCAAAAGCGACGATCGATTAAGAATCGTATATACCATGGAGAGGCAGGAAGTGCTATTGATGCAGAGCAACAGATGAAGAGTATAGGAATGGCTCTCCAGCATTACAATGCCAGGGATATATTCAACTGTGATGAGACTGGGCTCCTTTGGAAGCTGGTTCCTGATCGAGGACTCTCTACTCGCTCTCTTGATGGCCGAAAGAAGGAAAAGGCATGGATTACTGCCCATTTATGCTGCAATTCTGATGGATCTGAGAGATTACCTATATGGTTTATTGGAAAGGCTCAACAACCGCATGCTTTCCGTGCCGCAGGCATCAATATTGAGAATCTCAATCTCAAATGGAGGCACAACAAGGAGGCCTGGATGACGGGCATTCTCATGGAGGAATGGCTAAGATGGTTTGATTCCAAAATGACTGGCCGTCAAGTAGTGCTTTTAATGGATAATTTCTCTGCTCATGTACTGGCAGTTGAAAATATCAATAAGAGCCTTTATCCCCTACGGAATACACTGATTATTTGGCTTCCACCAAATGCAACGAGCAAATATCAGCCACTAGATCAAGGGATTATATATTCTTGGAAGTGCCACTGGAAACGGCAGTGGATTATCTATATGATTGAAGAATACGAGTCGAACCGTGATCCTCTTACTACAATGAACGTTTTGAAGGCCCTACGCTGGGGAATACAGGCTTGGGATATTGATATGGCGCCTGCCACTATTCAACACTGCTTCCAGAGAGCCTTGTTCAAGAAGACAGCTGTCCCGCCTGAAGATCTTTCAATGATACAGATCTCCAATGATTTCCAACGGCTCTGCACGGTCTCTGGTATTCGAAACCCAATGAAAATTGAAAACTTCCTCAATCCCGCGGAGGAAGTAGTGGAGGACTCTTCTGAAGATCTAGAGCGCCGTATAATTGAGCAGCTGGAGCCAGAGGAGCCTGAGGATGAGGAAGAGACTATAAATATGGAAGCTGATCCGCAAATCAGCACCACCGAGGCCCTTGACATAGTGAAAAGGCTTCGCTTGTATGAAGAGCAGCAGGATAAGGGAGATACAGAGGTAATTCAACGGTTAAATCATTATGAGAGAAGATTAGAGGCTCGGAGGCTTGAAAATCAGCAGCGGCAGGATATGACAGCGTATTTTGTATGCTAGCTCTATATCAAGAATCCCTCTATATAACGAATTGAACAGACTTCCAACATTGATTCGTTATATAGAGGCATTACTGTATATAGAGACTAACTAGTTCTCATGATACTAGCTCGACCGCAGTTTCCCGGGGCTACCTGAAATGTAGCCTATTCTGTTAAGGCTGGTTAACTGATATCGCCAGGTCCTCTTACCACGCTCTGTTACTCCAACCTAGCTTCATAATATACCTTGTCTCACCCCACGTTCGACAGCCCCTAAGGTCAGCCATTCGCAGACAGCAAGTGTTGTGTCGCAACAAAAGCTCTCGAATCACCCAGCTAAGCATGGTCTTGCTTAGTGTGCATCTCAATTGATGGGCTGCCTGACTGAGGCCCTTTCCACCCCCCTATCGGCGTCCCGGCCCGAGTTTCAGCTCCTCGCCTATACGGGTTCCGGCTAGCGATTGGGGGGGCGGACGCCTTTTGCGGAAGCCCGAACACACAACTTCCATCCAGATTGTCGTGATGATATACACGTTATCGGTGGAAAGCATGTTCTGCGTCTCAACTTCAAATGGAGGGCTCGCCCCCTCCAAACCTGCTACAAAATATTATTTCATCTCTGATAAACATTGACAAATAAGCCCATCATGACTATAGACGAGACCCACGGCATGAATGGCCATGGCGTGGCAATTGGTTCTGACATCAATGGTCCTATTACCAATGGCCATGCCCGTCGCACCAACGGCTTGCGTACGAATGGCATATCCACAAACACTGCGCACATGAACGGCAATTCCAACACGATGAACGGTGCAAATGGGGTCTCGGCCTCCAATATCCATTCCAATGGTCAAATTCCGATCGCAATTTGTGGTATGGCATGTCGTCTCCCGGGAGGCTTCGCAACGCTAGATGAACTATGGGACTTTCTTCTTGCAAAGCAAGATGGTCGATGTCGTGTCCCGGAATCGCGCTATAACATCGAAACATACTACTCGGACATGAAAAAGCCGGGAACGGTCTCAACCCAGTATGGATATTTTCTCGATGAGAGTGTCGACGTCGGGGCGCTGGATATGTCCCTTTTTACCATGGCAAGAAGTGAAGTAGAGCGAGCTGACCCTCAGCAACAGCTCATGTTAGAAGTGGCTCACGAGGCTTTCGAGGACGCCGGTGTGACAGACTGGCGAGGCAAGACTATCGGTACTTATATTGGTAATTTCGGAGAGGACTGGCTGGAGATGTTGGGGAGGGAAACCCAGCCGTGGGGAATCCACCGTATCTCTGGTTCAGGAGACTTTGTCGTCGCCAATCGTCTCTCTTATGAATTCGATCTACGGGGACCAAGGTATGATTTTTGGTGGGTACGCCAATGAAGTAGACCCGCGCTAACATATTTGAATAGCATGACCATTCGCACGGCATGTTCGTCCGCTTTGGTGGCTCTGAACGAGGCTTGCGCAGCGATTAGCAGAGGCGACTGCGAATCCGCTCTAGTAGGCGGTGTCAATTTGATCCTGGCTCCGGGAATGTCGGTGGCTATGCAGGAGCAAGGAGTCTTGTCTAGCGATGGCTCATGTAAGACCTTCTCTGCTGACGCCAATGGGTATGCTCGTGGAGAGGCAGTTACGGCCATATTCATCAAGCCGTTGGCTGATGCCATTCGAGATGGCAACCCGGTTCAAGCTGTCGTGAGAGCCACATCTCACAACGTGGACGGAAAAACTCCGACGCTATCGCAGCCTAGCACGGATGTGCAAGAAGCTTTGATGAGGAGGGCATACGAGCTTGGAGGCATCACTGACTTCTCGGAAACCGCCATGGTAGAATGCCACGGGACAGGTACCCCGACAGGCGACCCCATTGAAACGAGAGCTGTGGCCCGCGTCTTTGGAGAGAAGGGCGTGTACATCGGCTCTGTTAAGCCCAATCTCGGACATACCGAAGCTGCGTCCGGCCTTATTTCGCTTTTGAAGATGGTGAAGGCACTTCAACACCATATCATCCCACCAAACATCAAATTCAGCATCCCCAATCCTAGCATTCCGTTTGAGGAAGGGAAGCTCACGGTTCCTACTGAGGCAACTCCGTGGCCGAAAGACCGCCTTGAACAGGTGAGTGTGAATTCTTTTGGCATTGGTGGCGCAAATGCCCATGTAATTCTAGAGTCTGCGGCGACTTATAATATCCCGACTGCGGTATCTGGGTTCCCGGAGTCGCCTCAGCTTCTATTGTTTACAGCGAATTCCTCCAAATCAATAACAAGGCTGGTCGACAACTCCAAGGTCTGGATCGAGCAGAATCCCGACAAAATTTGTGATCTGGCCTATACTTTGGCCAGGAAAAGAACCCATCTGCCGTACCGAGCATTTGCCATTGTTAATAATGGTGTGATTGAAAGCGTTTCTCAGCCTATAAACTCGAAGTCTGCAGGCCCACCGAGCATTGTGATGGTTTTCACCGGCCAGGGCGCACAATGGCCGCAGATGGGACAGGAGCTATTGCGATCCGATGAGGTGTTTAAATCTAGCATCCGATCTCTCGACCAACAGCTTCAAACCATTGCTGGGAAGAAGCCTCACTACTCAATCGAAGAGGAGCTCAAGAAGGCAGGCAAGCAGAGCCGCCTGTCTTCGGCCGAGTTCTCTCAACCTCTTTGCACTGCTATTCAGATTGCACTGGTCGACACGCTCAAGGCTGCTGGAATTGTCCCACATGCCGTTGTGGGCCATTCCAGTGGTGAGATCGCTGCAGCATATGCCGCCGGGGCTCTTACGGCTAAAGAAGCTATCACAGTTGCCCACCACCGTGGAGCTGTGGCAGTCAAACAAGAGCGACCGGGGACAATGGCGGCCATTGGAATGGGCTGGAGAGAAATTGAAAACTACCTCGTCCCTAACGTCACGATCGCATGTGACAACTCGCCCAAGAGCGTTACAATCTCGGCCGATATTGATGCCGTGAAATCTGTTGTTGCTGCTATAAAAAAGGAACAGCCACAGATTCTGGCTAGACTACTCCAGGTTGATAAAGCCTACCATTCATACCATATGGAAGAGATTGGTGACCATTACCAATCACTAATCGAGCAAGTGATCGGAAAAGCACCGTCGATGCTTTTTTTCTTCAGCTTTAGTGGCAACATTCTAGATTCAGAGCACAAAACCGGGTCAAAATACTGGCGGGATAACTTGGAATCACCAGTTTGATTCTGGGAAGCCATCATGGCTATCTTGAAGCACGATATTGGAAATAATGCTGTCTTCCTTGAGGTTGGGCCTCGCGGAGCTCTTGCAGGACCACTGAGACAGATATTTGCTGAGGCCTCCTCTCCCACTCCTTATGTCTCGGCCATGACGCGCAATAAAGACTGTACTGTGTCTTTTTTGGCAGCCATTGGTGCCCTGTATTCTCTCAATGTTCATGTTAACCTTGAGGCTCGTTTCCCCACGGGCACCTGTCTTTCGGGCGTCCCCCGATACCCATGGAATCACAAGGGCAGCTACTGGTACGAGTCTCGGCTAAGCAAAGAATGGCGCAACCGCAAATACCCGTACCATGATCTTCTTGGTTCTAGGGTGGTTGAGAGTAGCGATACTGAGCCAGTGTGTGGCGCAACCTATTCCACGTTACAAACGCGCCGTGGATATGCGACCACAAAGTGGGAGAGAACATCATTTTCCCATTCTGTGGATATAATGTCTTAGCGGACGAGGCCATCAGACAATTGACAAACGCCGAGGAGGGGTTCACTGTTAGAAATATCATTGTCAGTACGGCTTTAGTGATAAGCGAAGGAAAGCCGACTGAGATGATAGCCACATTCCAACTAGGCTGTTTGACGAATTCCTTGAACAGCAAATGGTGGGAGTTCACAGTGCCGTCCTATAACGGGCGCAACTGGACAAAACATTGTACACGAGAAGCTTCCGCTCAGTATTCTCCGCCTGAACAGGCCCAGGACCCTGATGCCCTGCCCAGAAAGCTTAATGTGAGGAAGTGGTTCGAAAAGATGGCCAAGGGTGGCCTGAATCTGGGAGGATCTTTCCAGACCCTTGATATGATGGCGAGCTCAACCTCAGAGCAGCAGGGAATGGGACACGTTGTGAATGGAAGGCAGGGAGATGAAGCCAATTACTACATCATCCTACCGTCCTTGACGCAACCCTGCAGATCCTGGGCGCTGCTGCTGTCAATGGCTACGCACGCAAAACCAGAACTTGGCTTCCAACCAGCATCGACAAAATCTCTCTCTACAGGTGCACTTCGGATATGATCACAGATGTCTCTGCTAAGCTATCAAGCAATTATTCGGTCCTTGGAGACGGCTGTTGCACATGTGAGGGCAGAAAAGTTGTTGAAGCAGTCGGCATCCGTATGTCACTTGCGGATGCTGCCAGTTCAGGCGAGGTAAGGGACGGACACGCAGCAGCGAGGTGTGAATGGAAACCTGACATTGACTTCTTGGACGTGAACGAGCTCTTCTGCGCACCAGTGAGCCATACCGACAATTCACGCTTGCTGGAGGAGCTGGGAGACATCTGCTTGCTCTTATCCCAATCGTGCTTTTCGGAATCCTCAAGCAACACGACCTTGCCCCATCTTCAGAGACACGTTGCTTGGATCAAATCTCAGTCTAAGTTAACCCCTATCAGGTTGCCCTGTACTTGGACAGGTCTCGACAACCAGACTATTTCCGCTCGAATCAACAGTTTGCTGAAACAACTGGAAGGCACGCTTGCAGCTCCAGTCGCTAGTGCCATTCATCAAGTTTGCATGAATATGGATTCTCTGCTGTCCGGCAAAGACCTTGAGGATATTTTGCCAGGAAGAACTTTGTCGAACGTCTACAAATATCTCGGACAGCTGGAACGAAAAGAGTTCATTCGGCAAGTGATTCACTCCAAGCCCCAATCTTCGAATTCTCGAGATTGGAACTGGAAGTGGTGTGTCACTGCACCGCGAGATCGTCGAGGATCTCACGCGCACTGATGGGGAGATTCTCTGTGCCAAGTACATGTTGACTACCCCGGGCTACCTGGCGACAGAAACTCAAGAAAAGCTGTTCCCAAACATGGACTTCGCAAGTCTGGACATCTGCCAGGATCCTATCGAACAGGGATTCGAGGAAATGGAGTACGACCTCGTCCTCGCCGTCAACTCTCTTCACAAGACCAAGAATGCTCAGGAAAGCCTAGCTAACCTGAGGAAGCTCCTCCGCCCCGACGGCAGATTATTCTTGCGGAGCTTTGCCCGTCATCCAGATGGGTAGATTATGTGCTAGGTGCGCTCCCAACTTGGTGGTCGGGTACTGAGGGCGGGCCAATCAAGCCGCCGTATCTAAGTAAGGAAGAATTGGAATTGGTGCTTGCTGCTGTCGGGTTTGGCAAACCCGAAGCCGTGGTTCTAGATGCCGAAGCCCCTCACCAAGTCACAACCTCCTTTGTCGCAAGGCCCATCCGTGAGACACCAATCAAGAAGGCCACCGTTCTTGTCGATGAGGAAAGATCTGCTGTTACACACATCTTGAACCAGCTCGAAAAAGATGGCTATGAGGTTATCAAGTGCAGATTAGGCGATATCCCGCCAGCTGGACAGGACATGATTTCGCTCTTAGACATCGAGCAGCCCTTTTTCCATGATATTGACGAAGCACGCTTCCTATCTTTCAAGACTTTACTTCTCGGCCTCCAAGAACATGGTTCTGGTATGCTCTGGGCGACCCATCTCATCGACATCGGATGTCGTGATCCCCGATACGCACAAGTTCTCGGACTCGCCAGAACCATCCGAACAGAGCGGCTGGCCGATTTGGCAATCTGCCAGGTCGACGCTTTCGACAATCCCAAATCTATTGACCGTCTCCTCCAGGTGCTAGCGAAGTTCCAGTCGCGCCAAGGTGACGAGGAACTGAATCCAGATTTCGAATGGGCCATTTTCAACAACCGCGTCCAAGTCGCACGCTTCCATCCTTTTGCCTTAACCGATGAGCTCCTAGTTTCGGACCGGCCAAATGAGATGGCCACGCTGAATGTCCGTTCACCGGGACGGGTCAACAGTCTGTATTATGAGCGACATGAACGAAAGGACCTCGAAAACGATGAAGTGGAGGTCCAGGTCTACTCAGCTGGATTGAACTTCAGGGTGAGTTAAAGATCCTTTCTAGGTTAAGTGGCGTTTTTCTAACATTCTAATTCCAGGACATTTTGGTCGCACCGGGCATTGTTGAACTTCCAGTCCGCCTGTTCGGAATTGAAGCCGCTGGCATGGTTACCCGTGTGGGAGCGGACGTCAGCCCAGACGACCTTCAAGTAGGAGATCGAGTGGTTTGCTTCTGTAAAAAGACGCCTTTTCGACATACACAACTACCTTGGCTGCTGTTTGCGCGCGAATTCCCGACAGCCTCACTTTTGACCAGGCTGGGACGATGCAGATCCCGTATTTCACCGCGATTCACTCCATTATAAACGTCGGGCGTGTTACGAAGGGTCAGGTGAGTGGTATGGAAACTCATATATCATAATGTTACTCAGCATGGCATTGGCTAACCAATCTCTCTCGACGTAGTCCGTCCTGATTCACAGCGCGTGTGGCGTGGGTCTGGCAGCTATCCAGGTTGCCCAAATGCTGGAGGCAGAGTTGTACGTTACAGTTGGCAGCGACGAGAAAGTCAAGTACTTGATGGACCACTGTCACATTCCGAGAAAAACCGGATCTTTAACTCCCGTGACAAGTCATTCGTGGATGGCGTTATGCGTGAAACGAAAGGCGTGGCATGGACTTCATTCTCAACTCGCTCTCAGGCGAGCTCTTACATGCCACATGGAGTTGCGTTGCGGAATTCGGAACATTACTTGAAATCGGAAAGCGAGACTTGATTGGGGATGGCAAACTGGACATGAAGCCATTCTTGGCGAATCGCAATTACTGCTGTGTTGACATTGACAGGGCTTTAGAAGAGGATTCACATCGCTAGAGCCTTGATATTTTCCATCTTGGATTTCTACAACAAAGGATTCATCTCCCCGCTGCCTATAACAATTTTCCCCGCAGCTCAGACCCAAGATGCATTCCGATTCATGGAGAAGGGACAACACATCGGTCGCCTCGGCGTTTCGATCAAGGATGCTGGAGGAGACGCCGAGTTGGGATCTGAGACCACCAAAAGAGCTCTAAAGATTGCCTTCAAGGAGTTCGCCTCGTACCTTATGGTTGGTGTTCTTGGCGGAATTGGTCGTGCCGTGTCCACCTGGATGGTCGACCATGGCGCCCGCGAACTTATATACATGTCCCGCAGCGCTGGCCTTACCACCAAAGATGACGCTTTTATCCACGAGCTCGAGTCGATGGGTTGCACTGTCAAGCTCGCGAGCGGCGATACCACGAAGCTCAAGGACGTGGAAAGAGCCATTTCTGCAGCAACCTATCCCCTTAAAGGTGTTGTGCAGATGTCGATGGTGGTTGCGAACGAGAACTTTACCAAAATGAGCTATGACGAATGGACGGCGTCTACGGCACCCAAGGTTTAAGGCACATGGAACCTCCACAATGCTTCTGTGGCAGCGGGGGTTGATCTCAACTTCTTTGTGATGTTCAGCTCGGTGTCTGGCATTGTTGGACAAGCGGGCCAAGCCAACTATGCGAGTGGAAACAGCTTCCTTGATGCGTTCGCCCAGTGCCGCAATGGCATGGGCCTCGCCGCTTCTGTGGTTGACATGGGAGCCGTCGAGGACGTTGGCTGGATTTCGGACCACCAGGGCATGATGGGTAAGATGTCGCGGAGCGGCTTCAAGCCTGTTCTGGAACAGAAGGTCATTGACGCCATGGCAATCTGCATGCTAGTTCACAACAAACCGAACAAAGCCGCCGAAAGTGCTCTTACTGTGACTTCGAAGAACTCTTCTTATTTCGTCCACAAGAATACCTTCCTCGTCGGCCTTGCCTTGCTCATCCCATTGAATGACCCTAGCAACTATGTGATCTGGAAGAAGGACCGCCGTATGGCGTCTTATCACAACAAGGCTACAGTTGCTGCCACAGCAGCCTCGACGGATATTCTGAAGTCCTACCTGAGCAGTGCTAAAGCGGACCCTTCGATTCTCAAGTCGTCAGAAGCAGCGAAGCTCTTTGCGGTGGAAATTGGCAAGAAGCTCCTCGATCTTTTACTCAAACCCCATGAAGGGCTCAAAACAAGCTTGCCCTTGCTTGATCTTGGGCTTGACTCATTGGTGGCTCTTGAACTGCGCGCTTGGATCAAGCAGGTCTTCTATTTTGATCTGCCCATACTGGAGATGATGAGCATCGGATCTCTTGACATTCTTGGCCAATATGCCGCAAATGAGGTCTACAGAATCGCGACTGAGAATAAGGACAGTTAATCCGCTATCGTTGGGTTTCTTTGAGATTGCGATGTTATTAGAGGAAATGTTATCTGTGTCAAACACGGTTCGGCAACCGTGTTTTTCCCCCCCACCGAAAAAAAAAAAAAAAAAAAGAAAATGCCGGCGAATTTGTGGGAGGCTTAACAAAAAGATCCACACAGACATATCCACCCTGCAACCTTAAATTGCCAATTTGAATCCCCCGCATTATGAGCAAAATCTGCCAGGGCGAAAAAAAATACCAGAGGTTGGCTCCGGTGACACGCTATTCCACCGAGAAGGTCTCTCAGAGAGATTCTAATCGAGACAGAAGATCGCACGTCATAATACTGTGTGACCAAAGAGGGAGGAGTTGACAGCATGATCAACCAGCTGAGTCATAGTTAGTCAGGTAGCATAGTAGCTCACGAGCACTGTGGGACTTAGAAATAACAACCAAGTTTACATCTCACGTCGTGCCATAGCACAACAGCAACAAGGATACCAGTAACAAGGATGCCAATGAGAAGAGTGCTGAAAATGAGAATGCTGAAAAAGCTGATGCAAATGTTACTTCCAATGTTAGCAGTGAAGGATTCCAAAATTGGCTTTTCGGTTGGGGTGATCTATAAAGCGGGAATTGTGTAACTACAGGAGTTACCTAGTTTTCAGAATTAAGAAAAGGTTCTTTCAATTTGAAACGAAACCCCCAATCTCATGGTTCAGATTTCAGTTACATGTTAGAACTGAGCTCATTTCCCGAAAGGAAGCATTTTCAGAAGGGTGATAGAAATCATACAGTGCTCCAACAGTTCTCTATTTGGATTATGGTTCTCGCACGATTCCTAATTAGGTTACCGTGAGATCTCGGAAACGAAAGTGATGGAGGACTTGTATGCTTGTTATTCGCTAAGCTACCTAAAGGGGAATCTCGGCTAATCTATGTGGGTCACGTGAGCGAGGTGCTAGTTGGATTACCTAACACCCCCCCATGCAACGAGCTCCAGCAGTGAGCGAGAGCCACAAAGATCCAAAGCTTCCAAATCTCTCAAATCCGCGATAAAAATTAATTACAAAATCCAGATTTATTCCTTCTTTAGGCTTAGCTCCGTTCACCACAATATGGTATTTTCGCCGGCTTCACTGATAAACCTCCATATTTTCCTGTATTAACCCGTCACCCCTATTGTGCTCACGAATTGAGTGTAGGGATCCATTGCAAGAGCCTTTGTGAGCCCGTCAGCTTTATTTGCATTGCTTCCAACATGCTTGATTGAGATTTTGTCCTTTTGCACCCAGTCTCTTAGCATATGGTGCTGAATCTCAATATGGCGTGCTCTTTGTGTTATAGCTTCAGCTTTGGCTAAGTCAACAGCTCCCTTGTTGTCAACACTTAATTTTGAGCTCCTTAGCCTTGCTGAGCCTTCACTAATTACTCCGGCATCTATCAACAGGTTGTTGATCCAAACCAGTTCACAAGCAGCTTTGCTAGCTGCCAAATACTCTGCTTCAGTTGTAGATTTTGAGACGGATGTCTGGCACTGTGATCTCCATGATATTGGAGCTCCGTTCATGGTAATAATATAGCCGCTGGTGGATTTGTATGCAGGGTTGGCTCCAGCCCAGTCAGAATCTGAACTGGCTGCCAGTTTCAAGCCTTCAGGATCCATATCCCTTTTGAAGACTATTCCTTTCAATTTTGTGCTCTTGAGGTAGTGTAGGATCTGCTTGAATGCTGCCCAGCTCTCCCTATTGGGCCTGCTGTTGAATCTCACCAGATAATTGACTGTGAATGCAATATCCAGCCTTGTACACATAACTAGGAACTGTAGAGAGCCCAGGCCTTTCCTGTAATTTGTAGGTGTAGCCTGCTTGTCAACTCCATCTTTAAGGGTCTGATCTGGCGCGAATTTGATGCTTATTCCTTTCTTCATTGGCATTTTGGAAGGTTTGCAGTCTTCCATTCCATATTTGGTCAGTAGATCCTCAATATACTGTTCCTGGTTCACAAAAAGGTCTCCATTTGGCTGCTTTTGAACCTGCATGCCTAGATAATGGCCCTGTTCCATAACCTTCTTGATCTTGAAGCATTCCTGAAGCTTCTTGATGAGCCATTCTGTTTCAGCTTTGTTGGGTCCCATTATACAGCAGTTGTTGATGTGTAGGGTTAGGTAGATTTGCTTCCTCTTGTGGTAGAGTAGGCCTGCATCATATGAAGAGATCTGGAATCCTAGAGATTTCAGATAGTCAGTAGCTGCTTGATACCAAAGTCTAGCAGCTTGCTTCAACCTGTAGAGTCCCTGGTGTAAGAGCCCTACTAGGTTACCCCGCCCGTGCTTGAATCCAGTGGGTAGTTGAACATATACATGTTTGTCCTCTGGAAGAGTTCCATTTAGAAAGGCTGTCATGAAGTCAAAGACTCTGACCTTCCAGTTCTTGGCTGTTGAGATAGCAAAGAAGGCTCTTGTTGTAGGTCTACTAACAACTGCTGTGTAGGTCTTCTTGTAGTGAATGCCTTCTTGCTGTTTGAATCCATGTACAACCCAACAGGCTTTGAATTGTACTGTGCCACCTGTGTTGTTGAGCTTTCTATTGAATACCCATTTGCCAGACAGGATCTGCATTTGGGGTTCCTTCTTGACTAGGATCCAGGTGCCTTTCTCTTGTAATTTGGAGACTTCAACATCTAGAGCCTCCTTCCAATAAAGCCACTCTTCAGAGCATTTGGCTTCAGCAACAGATTTTGGTATATCTGTATGTGTACTGAGCACTGGAAGCTCAGCTCCATTTGTCTCTTCTTTCTCTGTAGCATCTGAGAGGATTTCTTGCTCTTCATCCAGGTATGTGGGCTCTAAAGCCTCTAATTTGCTGTCCGCGAGCTTCTTCATGATTTCTGGCTTCTCCTTCGCAAGGTAAGCTAGTAGCTTGTGTTGCCAGCCATTCAATGGATCTATGTAATTGTACTCCTCTGGGAGTTCAATGTATTCGGCTTCAGTTAGTGAATTCGTAGGGATTTGATCCAATTTCTTGTTGAATATAACATCTTGTGAGATCATTATACTGTTCATTTCTGGGTCCCAAAGCCTGTAGGTGTGCATGCCATGATATCCTACAAATTTGACCTTCTTGGACCTAGGTTGGAGCTTTGAGAATTCATTCAAAATCTTCATGTAGGTGTCACATCCCCACCTATGGACCCATCTGCAATGGGGTTGGTGACCCATCCAGACTTCAAAGGGTGTCAACAGCTTCGTGTTCTTGCATCCATATAGAGGCACTGAGGTAGGCGATAGATTCACCATCATGGAGACTGTGGCAAGAGCTTCACCCCATAACTCATTAGGTAGTCCTGAGTCTATAAGTATGCTTCTTGTTCACTCACAAAGAAGTCATATTCCTCATTCACTTGTTCCATCTTGTTGAGGTGTATATGGGCACATAATCTCCTGTTGTATACCCTTGCTCCTGTAGAATTCAGCCAGTTGTTGGCTTGTCAATTCAGGAGCTCCATCAGACAGTATAGTGCCAATTTTTCATTCAGTAGACACTTCAATCATGTTGATCCAGTTCTTTAGGGTTTCTGGAGCTTCTACCCGCTCCTTCAGGAGATAGATCCACCTGTATTGTGTGGCATCATCTGTTATAAGTAGGAAATACTTCGCTCCGCTGTAGCTTGGAGGATCAGAGTCTGTGGATAGGGTACAGCCGCCACCTGCAATATCAATAAAAATTTTAGCTCCAGGCTTTATAGAGCATGTTCTAGGTTCGAATGGATTGCAAGCTTGCTTAGCTTTAGCACAGGTTTCACAGAACCCTAGCTTCTTTACTCCCTTTATTCGCATTGCCATTCTCGGATCTCTAGCTAGAATAGCTATATCATGGGCGTTGAGATGCCCCCAGCGTTTGTGCCAATTGGCCATCGTATCCTCCTTGATTTCTGGCGTCTTTGCCAGGTGATTCGGTGCCAAAAGCGCGTCATCTCTATCTTTATTCTCTAGAGTTGCTGTTACATAGCAGGGCTCTAGGAGTTTCGTAGGTACTGGAAACGCGTATGCCAGTAAATTGTGTATTCTAGGCGTTTGTAGGACTAGGATGTCATCCTCATTAAGCACAGCTTCAAAGCTCTGTGTTTTATCTGCTGATTCTAGTAGGAAGATGTGTTCTCTGTTGATATAAAGCTGTTCCACTGTAAAGCCATCTTGTATAAGCTTCCCAAAGCTTATAAGGTTAACCTGGAGGTCAGGCATGATTCTAACCCCCCCAATGCTCAATTCTCCATTGTCAGTTTGGATACTGGCCATGCCAAATCCTCTGGTGACTGATTTCAAACCATTCACCATAAGCAGTTGTGTTGCATGGCTCTTTGGGTCCATTTGAACTAGATCTGTATGTGAGGTCGCGTGGGATCCAGCTCCAGAGTCAAGAATCCATTTGTCTGTGGATTTGCGCGCTTCTTTCATAGAGAAGGCTGCTTCATGAACCAAATGGATCTTGTCCATTGCAACTGTAGCTGTTTCCTTGCCTTTGCCTTTAGAGTCTTCTTTAGGCTTGTTAGGCTTCAAATTCTTGTTAGATTTGCAAAATTTAGCCAAATGGCCAGGTTTGCCACAAATATAGCAGTTCCAGTTCTGCAGTGAGCTCTTCTCTGGATTGGATTCAGAGTTTGTATTCTTATAAGATTTTTGGGGATCCAAGCTTGTTGCATTTGTATTTGGCTTTGTAGATCCACCTTTCTTCAGGTCTTTCTTGGGGATTTGGTGGAGGATATCCTTCAGTAGGCCTTCCAAATCCTTCTCCAGTAGGTTCATTCCACTCTGGCATGCCATATCAAATTGGTTCTGTATGAACTCTCTCCATCAGAATGTAATGTTCATTTTCAAGATATTGTGTAGGGTGTGGTCCAGTTGTTTGAACCCTAATCTCTCAAATTCCCCACAAATTGCTAGGAATCTCTCTATATAATTCCTTTCTGAGCCAGCAGACTGTGGTGTCATTCTTACTAACTCTGTAAGTAGGCTTTCCTGCTGTATCTCAGGTCTTTCTTGGAAGGCTGTTCTTACAGCTTCTCAGAGTTTGTAAGCACTAAGGCTATCTGATTCCTCAAAGTGTTCTCTGGCTTGTGCAGATATTGTGCTGTTGATTAGGCCATGTAGCCAATTGTTCTGAATGTTCCAGTATTGTGAAATCTTCAAGCACTCTAGCTGTGGTGAAGTCTCTTGCCTTTCCAGGATAATCCTCTCAACATCTACTTGGCAGGCTACCTTTAGGATGGCTTTGCTCCATGCTAGGTAGTTGCTAGCTCCAGCCAGGGTCATAGGCTTCTTCACCATCTTCATGATCTTCATGAATTGGGTGATTGCTCTGCTGATTCACATATTTGTGTCTATAAGATTGCTGACATATTCTTCTAGTTTCTCATCAGAGTCTATTTCTCAGTCCTCTTCTTCTTCTTGTTGAGCTTCATGCTCTAGG